CAGGGAAGTTAGAAAGATGGCTAATGTGTAGTCAGATGAAAGACGGGAGGCGATGAAACCACTAATGGAAAGAGTTAGAGATGAGCGTAAGCCGATACCCACGAACTTGCATGGAAGTGATGCTTGTAACTATGAATTATGGTTAAAGCGGAGATTAAGGATCTCTTCAGCGAGAGATTTAACTGAGATTTCGAATGATTTTAATGAGTCGGGGAATTTGAAAATTGAGGTGGATCGAAGGGCATAAAGAATTTTAGGAATGTAGTAAAAGTTTTTGAGGAGAAAAAAAGCTTGATGAGGAGGTAAAAACTTAGAGATGTTTTTAAAATGAAGTAAGCTGGATTACCCTAATATTAATTAATTTTTATAGTATTCTATAAGAAATTCTCTAAAAATGAATAAAATTATAAAATAATATATAGATCAAACCATAATTAATTGATATCACTAATTTAATCAGAGTTTATTCTATGCATGAAAATTACAAAATATTTACAAAAATATTTAGAGTTTTTAGGTAAAATTTGATCAAAAATTTTTATTTTTTTTAAAAAAATCTTCAAAGAATTTTGCTCAAAAATATTTTGAAGATTTTTTTTACAAAGGATTTAATTCAAAACATAAACAATAACAAAAATCATATTTCCAAACGAAATTCAGCCCCATATTCCTGAAATAAAACAATTAAATAAAAATTAATTACAATAATCTGAGCCCGACTCGTATAGGTTAGGTTTTCGGGGTTTCTCCCTTACATACATAGCCCATGCCAAAAAATTATTTTTAAGCCATGGTCGGGTAATTTTATAATTCCAAAAGGAAAAAATTATTCCTGCTTGAATAAAAGCAAAAGAAATAAATAAACCCAACAAAATGTTCTTTCCAGTCAATATCATAAACTAACGTTTATTCATTTAAAGTTTAATAAATCCTAAGTTAAATCAAAAAGTTAAAAAATAAAATGAAGGGGCTAAATTTATTTTATTACCGAACCTTACTTAAAAATACCAATTAAACCTTTTTCTTACTTTGCAATGTAGGCTACGGATTATTATTTGAATTTTCATAGCCCTCTAGACCTCCTAAACCAATGACGGATGCCTACCTGATAACTAAATAATCTAATAATTCAATAAGAAAATGTATATTCCCTCTAACTTGACTAGGATGGTATCCCCTCCCTCCCAAGATTTTAATAACATAATTGCACCCCCCCCCCTCCCCACCTTTACTCATATCAGAGATAAAGGACCCAACAAAGTTATAAAGTGTCGTTTTCAATATTTTAAAGGGTTTAGAATAATATAATATTAAATTAATAAATACTAAAATAGAGCGTAGATAAATCGGGTATAACTTAGATCCACACATGGAACTGCCCTAGTCCAAATCTTATACAATCAAACTCAAATGGGTAGACTCGTACAAACATTCTCATTGACCCAGCCTGGCCAGACCTTGCCTTGAAAATTTTTATTCGGGCCAAATAAATTTATTATTTTGTTTTCCGAATTTTATAAATATTATTTCTTGATTATCTCTTCGGGACCAAATTGCATAGAACTTTATTTTAGATCGAAATTAATAACCAAGTTGCGATCAATCGAAAACGGTACGCCCCCTCCCCCTTTATTATAATGTTTATTTTTTAAAGTACGAAAAATAAATAAGGAATACAACGCGTGCTAATTTAGAAATAACATCTATATTTTAATATTATTTTATTCTCATTTTTATTTGAATAAATAATAAATTTAAATAATAACTTATTTCATTATTTTTATATTATTACCTTTTTACGATTAAAAAAAATATATACTAATCAATAATTAGCCGATTTAATGTGAGAAATGTATTTTAGAAAGGAATATTTTTATTACCTTACAAGAATTTTGTTTACAGTTGAGTAAACGACAAAAAAAAATCGTTTATGTTAAATACCGATGTTGGATTCTAAAATAAATCAATTTAAATTAATTTTATGCAAAAATTTAAATAATTTGTCTTGGAAAAGAGAAAAAAAAAATTGTTTTTAAATTTAAAAGAAATTTAAATTAAAATGGAAAACTAAACATAGGTAATAGAATTTACAATAATTAAGTATATAATTATACGTTAAAAATTTTAAAGGCAATTTATGTATGATTAAAAAATAAATGAGAACGTTATGTTACCTTGCACTAAATAAATCTTCCTTTTTGTCATATTTATTTTCTTAGACATTAATTGTATTCATTTCTAGACAAAATCTAAAAAATTAAGTCAAAAATCAATATTTTTTTTTAATATTTCTTACTTCAAAATTTGTATTTTATAATTTTCTGAAGGTGCTCTTAGTAATTTTGATGGGGCACGTTTTAAAATATTATGACTAATTGTATTATATACATAAAAGGATCATTTAAAAAAATTAAAACTATACAAAGTGTCCTTTATGAAGCAATATTATAATATCCCAAATTTTCATATATTTGATTTGAACTTATCAATTAAGGCAAAAATATATTTAAATTGGTAACAATTCTTCCATAAAAATAATATAACTGTTCTAAAGTATAAAACATATATATTTTTTTACTAATTGCCACCTTTGTGAGGTTAAAAAGGCTTCAAAAATAACATAATTGTTTTTCGTAATAATCGAACATTTAGTATATAATTCTTCTGAAAACAATTATGAAAAAAAATAATATGTAGTTTGCTATTTTATTATTATATCTACCAATAAAATGCCAATATAATTTTAATTTTTTTACAGCTCTTATTTTTCCCATTTATATTACATTATAATAGGTTAAATGAGATTTCATAAATTGACTTATATTAGTTAAGTATACTCTATAATTACAATTTCATCTTTTTTTCGATCTAATCTAGAATAAATTTATCAAAAATATTATTTATCGTACAATTTAATTTCTGCCTCAAAATGCCAGTTCTTTCAGGGGTCAATATCAAATTATATAAGAGTTTTCATTTTGGGTATTAATTTTTGTAATAAGGGTGTGGCTTAAAAACATGAAGAAGGTTAATAAATAAATTTGACCTCAAAACCTGCCGTGGGCTAAGGTATATAGAGATCCAGTGATTGAGTTGCAATCTATTAAAAATCAAAGAAGAGCTACTTAATAATACAAAATATTTTATATAAAATTTTTTGTATTATATAATATATATAAATGATGGAAAATAATATTAAAAAGGTATTATCAAAAACCAAATAAATAACTAATATTATCTTCTCAATGCCATCGCCTTGCAATATTTAATTTATAATGATTAAAATTAATCTATGATCACTAATATTGGAAGTTTTATAATCTTTCTTATAGATTATTAATGTTTATTTTAAATCCCTTTCAATTAGAAACCCCGAACAACTGCATTTTTGCGTTTCCGTTCCGGTCTAGAATTGCTCCATTCCATCTTTCGGAACGTTCCAAGAAAAATATCTAAATATATTTAAATCTACATATTTAAATTAGTCTTTATTTAATCATTAAATGAATCAATCATTACATCGAAGCAATAATATATTTTCTAAAAGATTATCAATTATAATGGTTCTTTGTGGTGTTAGTTTAAATTTGAGTGTCGAAAAACAGTTCAACACTTACCTGGCTACATGGAGTTGTTAATACTATTTAGGCCAATTCATACAGGATAGAATTTTTTATTTTATTCAAACTTTTTGATTTATCTGGATGATCCGCTCGAAATTTTTTTATAGTTTATAGAATATCATCCTTTAGAAAAACATGGGTTTTTCTTTTTTATCCTTAGGCCTTAGAAACATTTCTAATTCATCATATTCTTGCTATTTTCAGAAAGTTTATCCGAATTATTTATTATATTTAAATCTTCATCCTTAAAATTTTTAATATGTTACCATGTTGCCAATAAATAATTTATAACTTTATTATTTTCCTCTTCGTTCAAATGAGATTTAAACCTAAGATATAGATATATGACAGAACAAAGTAATTAATTCATTAGCATTTATTCCCCTTTGCTGAGAGCTGAAATTAATTCTTGTGATAACAAGGAATTAATTTTTGAACCTTACTTTACATTTGGTTCTTTAACCTATAAAGTCACCTGGAAAAATGCTCTTTTTGGAATATTAAGCTTGCTTCCTTTGAGGCCACCAATTTTCTAGTTTACCAATCTTCATCGGAGAAAAAGATATCAGGGTGTACCATTTGTAAGGATTTAGAAAATAAAAGAACCTTAATGCACCTGTTTATTATAGAAATAAATAAGAAATTTATTTATAATTTCAGCCTGGAACCTTCCATAAATTTACTCAAATTTCCATTCCTCCCTGCTTTCAATATACTGGATTATTTTTTAAAGAAAATAAGTCAATAAGAGTTTTAAATGAAAATGATATCAATGAGATTTCGTTCAAGAAGTAATTTTTAAATTCTATCAACTTTGCATCAATTAAATTACTTGAACTATTTCTCTGTGGTGTATAGCAAAAATTAGACTTTTTGATGCCCTTGTATCTATAAAATTTAGTGGTCCTGCATAAAGGGGGATTATGAATTACGCCGTTGCTTTTATCACAAGTCACAAATTGCAAATGTAAACGACTTCCATTTTCTTGTTTTAAACAAAAATATATTTTTGAATAATGTTTTTTTTTAATTTTAACCGTTGGCTAAAAAAAAATACATTTTAAATTATTATTTCTTGTTTCCTATCTTTAGAATATATTTATTTACTATATTTTTTTTTTATTAAATATTTTTTTTACCTTTATAATAACAATTTTTACCTTATGTTATTTATTTATTATCTTTTAAATTATTTACTCTTATTATTTTTTATTTTTTTTTCAAGTATTGTGTTTTTTTTATTTGTAGAAAAATAAATTATTTCTTACAAATTCATTTTAATTAAAAAAAATTTTTTTTAAGCAGCCAAAAAGAAGGAAGGATTATAATCACAATCACATTATCCCATTTGCATAATTTCCTTATCTTTTGAAAATTTATATAATAAAATGAATGAACATATTTTTTTTTCTTAATTTCCTCATTAATTAAATTAAATTAATAAAAATTTGTATTTTATCAAATGCTTATATAAAATCTAAGTTTTTTTAGTTTTAAAATTCCTCAAGGAAGTGATGGATATTTAATATTCTAAATAGAAAAGGAATTTTATTTTATCTCCACATATAATACCCCCATTTCAACATTCAAGCCAAAAAATATACTATTCATCTGATACAAAGATTAAAATCCACGAAATTATGCGCATTATTTAGTAGTTATTCTAGAAATCCATTATTTTAGTATTAAAAAAAATATGCTATTTTCTTTTTATCTTAACAAAAAAGAATTTAAAAAATATATATAATCCAAATATTCTAATTCTGCTGTTATCCGCTATAATGGAGTCACGTACTTTAATAAGAGAATCACCCTTTTACCCCCATAATTATTCCAACGATTCTTTCAGGAAAGAACACTTCAAAATGGTCTACATTCCAGATTTCCAGAACGGTATAGATGGAAGAGAGACAGTTATCGATATGGAAATTGAACCCAAGTAATAATAAGCAATATAATACAAATACAAACATATATCATCAGCATAGTCTGCACGGCTCCCCGAAGAAATCCATATAAAAAATAGATACCCGGGAAACTTGTGCAAATATTAAAACTTTTACGGGACTGAACCTAAAAATCTTTTTAAAATTATATTATTGCCCGGTTGTGCTTATCTCTATTTGCATACTCCAGTTCTCTTTATTAAATGACTGTCTGAAATATAAAATAAATATACATATTCATAATATGAAATTTATTTAAATTGAATAATGTATTGGTGCCGCTAGCCTTTATCATATATGTCCATTTCGAGCTTACATTTATTTACCATATACTCACTTGATTTTGTATTTTCACATCATATATGGAGAGCGATATCGCGCTAATCTCAGGCATTTAAAGAATATATTTTTAAAAAAAAATTGATTTAGGGTGTGCTTAAAAAACATTTTTATAGTATGCTAAAAAAGGGCATTTTTACCCTTGCCTATTTAAGCTACTGTGATAAGTTAAACATAAAAAGTTTTCAAGAGATTTGAGCCCTTTTGCGCCAACTCCTAACACGCCATTAATATTTAACATACATTAACATGGCAAGACAAATAATCAGTGACATCGCTAGCTTTTCTTCTTTCTTTTTTTTTAACTTGAGGGGGCTCTTTTTAAAACCCTACAAAAATATAAAAAAATAGGAAATTTCTAAAGTGAGCAAAAAATAAAAATTCTCACCAAAAATAACTTCCTAAATTTGCAAAAAAGAGCATATTTAAAACTCAATATATTTCAGAGGGCCCTCCAAAATTTTCGGGGAGGTCCGAGCCCCTATGCTTCCTCTCCTGCTGACAGTACTGCCATGAACTGAACATGATAAAAATTCCAAAGATGTGTAAAAATTTGAATGCTTTACATTTTAAATGTAATACATTTCTTCATTTTATAATACGTATGGATGTTTTTAATAGAAATTTAGAGGCTTGTGTTGGTCTACTTCTACAAATTCAAAATATTTTTGAGACTCAATAAATATTTATTTCTTAACATAAATGAGTGTCAGTCAATATTATAAAGATGTTTTAGGCTAAATAATTTCCATATGTTTTATAGTGCGTTAAAAAAGAATGATGAAATGGAATCTCATCGAAAATTTGCTTTTCTCGCAAGTATCATTTAAGCTAATAAAAAATTTCTCTCCTGCACACATCCCTCTCCCCCAAAATCACTAAAAAGTTAATTTGTTAAAATAATGATTATAATAGATAAAAGGCATTTTTATAATAAAAAAAATGAAAAGCCATAATTATTCCTTCAAAAAATGTAACAGCCAACTTGCGATACGTGAACTTAAAGACCTCCAATAAAATTTATGGGGGAAAGACAAATCTAATAGTTTTTATCCTCCCTTTGGCAAAATACGGACTACGTCTATGAGCATCAAAATATATTTTTTTTTTCGTAAATAGGCCTAAATAATAAAAGCTAGCGATGTCACTGTTCATTTTTTTAATTAATTAATATATTTTACTTTATTTTACATATGGCCACTGATCATATTTAACTACTTCCTCAAGATTATTAGGAGATTCTATTTTACTTTTAAATGATTCAAACGTTTAATTAATTAAATATTACTACGTATTCAAGCACTCAAATCATGGATTTTCTCATCAAAATATGCTCTCTCTACCATTTGTTCCCACCTTCAGACTTCCACGTATGGGCCCCAACTGGGGTCAATGGTGCTCTCGAGGCCTGCAAAGCTAGCGCTAAAATTTCCTCCTTGTCCATGGATGCTTACAACAATAAGCCAGTTGACTTTCTCAAAATAATTCATCGCAAAACCCCCAACAAAATGGACAGTAATGGCACGATTTACACGAATAATACAAATAGATATCGGTATTCCGTTGTAGGCAATAGTTACGATGTATGCGACAACGCAAGAAATCTAACCCTGGCCAAGGGTTCGAAAAACAACCGTTACAATCTAAACGGCAATTGTCAATCTAGTCAAAAATTCTGTATGGGTAACGGAGTGGGAAATAAAGATAATTCCCCCACCTATTTGACAAAGAAGGAAATCTTACCGTTTCAGGTAAAAAATGATATACATGAATTATTGATGCTCTTTTAAAGACAATTTTCTCTTAAATTTAATTCAGCAGTGGTATGTTAAACCTATTAAATTTCGATAAAATATGATTACAATATTAAAAAAGATTATAAAATTTATTTATCCATATATTTTATTACCTTTATTTAATGATTATTTTACTTACTATGCAAAAAGGATAGACCTATGTAATTTAGATATATAATAGTATTATTAGTCATTAGGTGCATAGTCCTTTAAAAAAACATTTATTGTATATTTTAATAATTTTGTGGTGTTAAATGTTATTATAAGAAAAATATATATTCTAAATCTATAGGTTTGCATTGGGAGAATTTTAGATTATAAAACCACCCACCTATTGCCGTATTTTTTCAGTACCCATATACTTTATTTTTTTTAATCCATCCACTATTGAAAATTTTATTACCACCTGCAATGTTTAAAAAATATTTTGTATTATTTTTGAATGAAGAATTTTTTAATAAATATAAGTCTACATTGCCAATCACACTCGTTCAAAATAGTTTGGTTCGCCCACCCTAAAAACTAGTCCGCGACAGTTTTACGATTCTATCAATAGAATTTATTTAGATTTTTACAGTTTTTTTAAAGCTCGTTTTAAATTAATATAAAGATTTGGATAATTTTTTTCTTATAAAACAGAGACCTACAAAGGTCATTTTTTTGGCTCAGATTTTATAGATTTTCCATTTTCAAGCCTGGCTAAGTGTCCAATTTAAATTTTTGTGGATATTTTTTCTTCTTCTTAAACAGAGACTTAGATTTTATAAATTTTCTATGTTCAAGCTCGGGTAAGTGTCCAGTTTAAATCATTTTTTTAAATTTCTTAGGCTCAATCCGGCACACCTTTTATGGCTCGGCACGGGATTTTGAAAATTGGTCGTTTTAAATAATGCTGAAATTTTAACATGTTAGATAATCCATTATATGATTTTCCAGCTGGTAAATTAATATAGTAATTTTTAGGCTGGGCCTGGCTTTATAATAATAATTTATTATTTATAAAACAGACTTGGATTTTATATTATTTTACCGTTTCGGGCTTAACATGCATATCTGCTTAAAAAAGAGACTATGGCACTAGCTTGTGAATATGAATACGAATAAGGAATATAAGATTTAAAGATATCTATATTTCCAAAAGGTATTTTAATATATCAAAGTGATTTTGTGCTAAAATTGCAAAATCATTTATTAAACCTTTTAATCTAGACTCAAATCTGATATATTTGAGCAGGTTTCAAGGATCAAGATATCGTCTGCTTTTCAAAAATGTATATATGACTGTTTAACTATTGATATGGTTCGAAATGTTTGATTTTTAATACATTAGGAAAGAATTTTTAGTGCCTTCCCCTTTATTATTCTTATACAAGGTTTTTTCGGCTTTCTTGTAAAAAAAACCTCGCGCTTATGCGAGGAGGGGCCTCGCAACGTGCGTTCTCCTTAGGACGATGAATGATCATCTATTTTTTGTTAATATTCTATTATATTTAATAATCTGAAAAATGTATAATTTTATTGAAACAATATTTTTTTGCTGATTCTTTACGAACTAACAAAATCTGGTTAAACAAAATATCCATTAAAATTAGGCAATATGCTTTTTCGATTTTGATCTGCAATCTTAATAAATATGGAGTTGAGGAGATATATTTAAGATGTATTATTTCATCATTTATAGATCAATCTAATAACCATCAAATAATTTCCTGCATGCTTATGCTTCATTTTAAAAATGCGCCCTTGTCTATATTGTGATAAGGATTCCTCGATGCTCAAATTAAACATTTATATGCTATTTCTTTTTGAGAATGTGAAATTTTATGCTTTTCTTGTGATATATTTATTTGACAATGTAATTAAAATAAAATCCATTATTTAATGATTAAACAAAAATTATATTAGTTCAAACAATTTAATATTATAATAAATATAGGATATTGAACTTATTTTTATTTTAATTATTATAATACTTTATCAATTATCTTTTTATTTTTAAAAAAAGGTCCGAACTATTCCATCATGTTAAATGCTAATATCTTTGATAATTAAGTTGATATTATATTATATTTAATAATTGACGAAATTAGGTTCTAGTTATATATGTAATTAATAAAGTATTAGGGGATTTCAAAAATTAATCAAAATTTTACACGTGAGGATGAATAGTTAATAATTCAGGGCAATCAATCATTATTTCTAACTTACTACAGCTAAGACAAATAGGTTATACGAATCTAAAATTTAGTAAAATATCTGCACCCTAGGGTTTGGAATACTAATAAAAAATAGCAGTATAGTTTATTTATGCGTTATTGTCATTACGAACAAGTTACTATTTCAAAAAATTAGAGAACGGCATTACTTGAAAAATGACCTATTTTTTACGTCGCTCGTCTATATTTTAATCATTTTTGTTTTAATAAAGTTTAGGTGGAATATTTATATTAAGAAATATAAAAAAATCAAATATTAATTGCAAAACTTAAAAAAAATTATACGGATATCTCATAATTTTTATTGGTCTATTCATTCCCAAGATACAAAAAACTCTTTTCATGATGACTCGGATGATGAACTATCAAAATTATTTTAGACAAAAGATACATCTTTAGAAAAGAAAATCTTAATAATTTCCACGTATTAAAACCCTGTTTATACCCTGTGATCCTCATCAGCTATTAAACCGGTATCAATGAAGCAAAGCGTTACTGATAGATAAAAGATTTTATTAATTTGAAAAACAATCACCCTCAAAATCGTTAAAATTTTTATATTTATAACATAATATATAAAAAGATTCTGGCAAATTTTATATTTATTTGGATTTTGGGATTTGTGTAATAAAAACACTATATATCGATTGATTAAATAAAAGGTAAACAATTTATTTGCATTAACAAAAAATAAAGTAACGGGCTACTTTAAATATCAAGGTAACGGTGCGGCGTTACTTAACCTTTTTGCGGAGTAGAACATGAAATGTAATAACGTTACTCTTTTTTGAGTAACGTGGACAGCTTTATAAAAAAATAAGTAAAAGGTCTATTTCATTATTTAAAACTTATTTATAATCATATATTTTTTATTTTAAGTGATTGGATTTAGCATGATGTTTGCAAAACCCGACCCAATCCGAAAACCTAGACCCATGGGTTAGGTTGGGATTGGTTTACAAATATTTTTGTTATAATTTTGAATTTGATCCGTGTTATCAATAACATGGTTTATTTTACACATTATTTTACAATTTTGTTCATTTTATGATTATTTATTATAACATATACTTAAAAAAACATTTTAGGTTATATATATTTTTTATATTATGATTTTCGATATGACATTAATTTTATGTTCCGGTTGGGTCCGATTAAAAGGCTTCATATCCGGTTTGGTCGAAATTTTATTTTATCACTTGCAGGTAGGTTTAGTCGTTTATTTTAATTTAATTTTTAGTCATGATTATAACGGGGTTAGCGATAATACTCTTCCTATTCCTAGCCCTTTATAAATATCATGTATTATATTATTGTACAAATAAATTTATAAAAGATGATGATATTGAGATTTTTTTTTATATTACAAATAAGAATTAATATTCTTAAAACCTAGATTTAGATATATTTTATTTTAATGATTTTCTTCGAATCCTCACTAGGTATATTGTATATGTTCTAGTGAAGTCATTGATTTGAACTAACCTTACGACATATTGGCATATATATATATATATAATTATCCCAATTTTTTTTAAAACTCATAAATGGAACTTTATTATTAAAAATATTATGTGAATTTTTTTGACCCACGTCCCTCCGTTTTCCCCAAACCGAAATCATAAAGGCCTATTTGCTACGAGCATGAAACTTATGGATATATAATGTCGATTGATAGTCATGTTTAAACTATACAATTTAAGTGGATATTATTCCTATGTTTTTAATTTTGAAATGTAACATGAAAGGTATTCATTAATAAATTTTTGAGCTCATGAAATTTTTTTCTATATACTTATTTATTATATAATTTAAATTGCTTTATTAAATAACAAAATAATAATTGATTAGAATATAATATATAATATATACTATGTATTTATTATATTATAAATATAATAAACTCTAAAAAAGCAATATAATGTAAATTTTGATATTTATGATTTACCAATTAGTATTACAAACAAACCAGGCTCATACGCAGCGGAGGAGGAAGGGGCAAAATCCCCCCCCCCCCTCCCCTCAAGCCAAGAAAATTTTCAAAACGAAAAAGACATTTCTTCAGAAGCAGACAGATTATTGGCCACAATACTTTAAACCCAAATAATTTTTTACTTTCGAATGCATAAACAAATTATTTAATTACACCTGTATTTTATGTAAAATTTTTGAATATAATGACATCGATTTGATTGAAACTATGAGAATAGCTGAACACTGGAACTTAAGGAAGTTAGGGAAAATCGACTGAAAATTCAAGCCCATCGTTCCAATATTAATATAGAGTCAGTGGAAGAATACTATAAAATAAACTTCTTTATTCCCCTCTTGGATACTTTTATTATTCAAATGAAAAGGTTCTTGATTCATTAGTTATCACTTACGAATCTGAAAATATTATCGCAGAATCCTTCTGAATCTATTTCAAATTTTAATAGAGAAAATAATTAAACATTTAACAGATTTTTATTATAAGGATATTAAAGTATCCCATGATGCATTACTGACTAAATAAAAACTATAGTATAAAAGGTTAACTACACTTGATAAATTCCCAAAAAATGTTATAAATGTTTTGCATTATTTCAAACAACTATTTTCCTATAATATATTAAAATTATTATAAAACCCTTTCCACCATTGAATGTACATTTTCTTCTTTATTAAAAAAATAACAAAATAAATGAGAGGTACTATCTCAGAAAATAGATTGAATGGGTAAGCCCTTTATGCATAGGGTTTACACTAGTGATCTGTATCGGGCCTAATTTTTCAAGCCCGGCCCGAAATTTTTTTAAAAAAGTTTTGCCCGGCCCGGCTCGAACCCGAAAATTTTTAAAAGAATTATGCCGGCCCGGCCCGAACCCGAAATTATTTTTGAAAAAATTTACCGGCTCGGCCCGAATTTATTATAAATATAGAAATTAATTTTTATAAAACGATATATGTTATATGGCGTCTAGTTTTTATAAATAAAATCAAATATTTTTATTTTACATAAAAAATTCAACATAAAATTGATAAATTTACATATATTTAAAAAAATATTAGGCCCGACCCAGCCCGAGCCCGATTTTTTTAAAAAATAGGTCCGGGTACGGGCCGGGCCTACTTTTACAGATCTCTTGTTTATACCAAGCGCTAAAGAAATCATGAAATCATTGAAAAATTAGCTCAATCCCAAAGAAAATTGAATTTCACATAATAAATTTATACTTTGTAAGTTTATATACATGCAATAATACTTAAGAATATTTTTATGCATTACTCTATATTTCCAATATTTAAATTTTTTTAAATATAATTTAAATTTATACAAATTTTAAATGCTTAAAAAATTAATATTTTTTTTATAGTACCTTTTCGAGACTCTTATTTTTTAGATAGTCACTATTGCTAGTCCTAATAAATATCTAAAACTCAAGATATTTTTGAATAACTCCTAGAATTTTTTTTAAAATCCCCTCAGCCCCTATAAAAAATTCCTGCGCACGCACCTGAAACAAACTTATATGCACATGTAGTATTGGGATATATGGAAATGTGAAATGTTTTAGTTTGATCGAGATATTTTAAAAAGAATCTTTTTTCCTTTTATATAAATGAAAATGAAATTGCTAGGTGAAGATTAAGTTTATTTTTAATGGCAAACAGAAAGATGTTCTTTGATAGATTTAGAAGCTTATAAAACTTTTATTTGTCTATTTTCATATAAATAAGTATAACTTTGTTTCTTATGCAATTTAATGAATAGATTTGATAAGTTTTTTATATTATACTTATTTTTATACTGCAGTCAAAAGGGTGTTCCTTTATAGATTTGTAAGCTTGTATGCATGTAATATTTGTACTTTTTAAGCCTGATTAAACTTTTATTATAATGTTATATACGTATTGTTTTTAAATAAATATTTTATTTTAATGTTATTTAAATTTGATTTTATGTTAAATTAATTGAATACATAAAATCGGTTTCAAATTTAAAAATATTTTGGTAATCTGACTATAGTATATAATTAGTCTTGAATAGACTTATTATTCTTTGTTTTGTGTAAATCAGAGAATAGAGATCTGAAAGTGACTTTTTTGATCCGACCTTTGCTAAGAAAACATCTTAACGACCCGACCTAACTCGATTACAGACCTCTATTAGGGAGTTAAAATAGTATCATTTTAGAAATCGGGCCGGCTGAACCTAAAAATATTTTTTTTTGCAAAACCTGGCTGGGTCTTACTAAAAATAAAAATTATAATTGTTAAAATATATTTAAATTACATAAATTAACCACTTGATAAATCATATGATGGATATTTAATTCTAATATTTTATTTTACTTTCCCTTTGACTGTTTACAATATAAAATTATTCAAAATCACTTTTAAAACCATTTGTTGTGAAAATTTATAAAAAATATATAAATCTGGTCCAGATAAAGGAAATTAGGAGTGTGAAATTTTATACATCTAGGCTGGGCAATATTTTAGATTCGGACCGGGCCTAAAACTGTTAGTCTCAAGATATATAATATGATACCATGGAAAATTTTAAAATTTTTATAATAGTAAGATTTTTTAAACACAATTTATTTTTCTCATTATTGGGTAAGGACACATATACTTACTAGTGGCTTGAAAATCTTTCCTCTTTCCCACAAGATAAGACTCTTTTAATAAAATAAAAAATTTTAAAAAAATCCACAAAATGTAGTTTTAATTTTTCAAATGAGGGTTTTTTATTACCCCATGAGGGCTCTTTTTTCACGCCACATATCTTTACCGTTATATTTTACAGATGACACAAAGAGTATTGGTTAATATTTTGCCAATGGCTCTTAGAAAAAAATACGTAGTTCGAGCTAGTCTAGATGAACCCTTGAGGATTATAATGGATAGGGTTTGTTCCGAATCGGCTAAATTCAATCCTTCACAATGTCGATTCGTATTACCCGAAAACAACCAAGGTAATCTAGTGATAGATGCGGGTCTCGTTGACGATGTAATATACAAAACCCTGGACCTGGAATTGAGTATGAGCCAATATCGACTCTCAGCCGAGTTGTACCTACTGCCTTCGCCTCAAGCCCAGGCATCTAAAAGTAAGAGATATATTTAATCTCCTGTACATACATTCATATAAATAAGAGCGGACCCGAGCTAATTTGTTAGTACAATTCAATAGGGCCTGATTTTTTAAAAAAAAGAGTAATATTAAATTCAATCATCTTTTGAAAAATTTATTAATCATATTATATTTCCATCAGAAATACAAAAATGATATTTTATAAATTATGTTTTTTAAATTGTATCATGATAATAAAATCAAATTCATAGCGACTATAAAACTATTATATTTGAAGCTCTCCCGTCACATCAAAATTCTCTTACCTTACCATCTTCAAATCCCTACTGCCCATCTATCAAGGGTGAAACTTTAAATAAATCTTTGATATCCCAGCCACTTGTCAGTGCCAAATTTCGAACTATGCCAAATACTAGCGAAAAATCTAACGTAATTTATGACAAGATTCTTAACCATTCTAAAAATACTAAGCAATCTAATCATCAATTCGACACCTTGTCATCCCAAGTTTATATAATATTATATATATAAATTTTAAGATAAAATAACGGCATTGCTAGCTTATCACTTTTTGGGGCACGCTCTAATTAAAGACAGGCATGCTTAACACGCATTCTAGCCATATATTGAAAATATATGGTTAATTTTACTTTTAAATTATATTTTGCATATTTTTATTAAATAATAATTATTGATGATTTTAATCGTTAGAGATTTTTGAAATTTGTTTTTGAAGTATTTTGTGAACGAGTCGCAGACATTATTGTTTAATTTATCGTTTTATTAATATCAAGAAATTATTTTACAAAAAGAAAAATCAGATATATCTAAACTATAAAAAATTCAACATTATTTTAAACATAAAAAAGATTAATAAAGATTTTTAAAATTATTTTACAGGAAAAAATAAAGTATATCTAAACTATAAAAAATTCGTCCCTTTTATAGGGAAAATAAAAGGCGCAATTATAAATTAAAATTAAATTGGCGCAAAGTGAAAAAAAGAACGTTTTTGTGGAATCGAGTTGTGTTAGTTTTATCGTACATAATTGGGGATAAAACCTACCCCCCTAAACTTCCCGAAACTCAAAATATACCTTGGGATGCAGGGTGGTCTCCCGGACCCAACGGTCTAACTCATATTTTTGGATCACCTTACTGAGGACTCCTAAAGTAAGAAATCCAGTAAAGTGAGAGAAAACACAAAAGCCATATGTTTTATTGTCACTGTGTTTAATTTAAAACAAAAGAAGGACCAAAAAGAGAAACCTTTTTTTTAACTTTCATTTTATTGTAAACAAAGGAGGGGTATTAAAAAAAACTTTATTTATCTTTAACATAAACAAAAGAGGGGGATTAAAAAACTTTTTCATCTTAACCATAATAAAAGAGGAGGATAAAAAAAAACTTTTTTTCCATCTTTAACAGTTTTATTGACTATTCTTATGAATCCACTATGCTTAAATTTGTTAATATAAATTATAAATACAAATATTATTCAATTTTTACCAAAAAAATTTTCAGTTGTTTTTTTCTGGGTCTATCTTAGAAATCGTTTTCGAATTCCTCTTCATCCTCGATAACTAATGCCTCAACACCATCTTCCCCATCACTAAGCTATTCCGTGAACAATAAAAGTGACAAAAATGACACGAACAACATTGGTAAAACCTTCTCTACTGACGGGGATAAAATCGATGGAAGAAATAAGAATAGCGGGCATTATAGGAGGAAGGCTCCCTTGCCTCCCATACCTAACGATTTAGAGGAAAATAAATTGGTTAGACTTCTAAACATTACATATTATATATAAATAGAAACAATATTTATTTTAAAATAAATATTCACTATATGATAATAGATAAGAATTCACAAAAATTTTTATCCATTTTTTTCTCCAGGACACGGTTTTATCCGATGATCACAGAAATTTTAACAATGATGGAAATTATTGCATTCTTAATCCGAAATCTAAACAGAATTATGAACACAAAAATCATGCCACCGGCAAATACTTAGAAGATGATGATGGATCGTGCACGTCTTCTGGATATCACGGATCCTCTAACAGTCCCTCCCCTTGTACCAGCTATAATTTTTTTAAATAATTTTTCCTTATAGTTTTATTTATATATTTTTTTTCAAATATTAATTTTTAATATAAGAAATGTAAACTAAATTCAATCCAAAATGCATTTTAAAAAACTTGATTTTTATAATCAGAGAATAATTATCTGTTTAAAATTCTTAGTATCATCCGACCTCATCAAAAATGAAGCTATAAATTACGAAGGAACTGAATCTCGACCCGCTAAATCAACCAAGAAAAAATCAGCTCCTAAACCACCATTGATCGAATCTTCCATTAAATCGTCTACCCATCAAAATGAGAATATACCCGATAGATACGAACCAAGCAATACTAATATTTCTCTAATAGGTGTTTCTGGAACTGAAATTAACGACGAAAATCTGGTTGTCGATAGCTTATACGATATAATCGATGAAAATAGCATAGATCAAGGTGAATTTTTTTACCTAGTTAAAAATAGTTTTTTTAAAATAAAAATGAAACTTTTCAAAAAACGTGAAAAAAACTCTCGAGTCCTGCTCAGTCTGAAATTTTTACTCGAATAATATAAATTTAACATATTTATTTGTATAAAGCTATGATAAAATAAAAATCATTAATTGCTTTGTCCTTAATTCCAGAGAATATTTCAATTAGTGTGATATAGGCCTATTCAAAAACGAATTCGAATCGAATAGTGCAGTATTCATATTCGATTCTTTTAAACGAATCGAATAATTTACTATTCGTATTCGTACGAATAATAAAATCTACTATTTTTATTCGATTCGAATTATTCGAATATTTGAAATTAATTTTCTTAATAAAATATATCACTTAAATATATTGACAAATTTATTTATTGCAAATTTGATTTATTATCATAATCTGATAATAAAAAATATGTAATCAATAATCTGATGATAAAAAATATGTAATCAAGTTATAAACTAAATTAAAATGTATATTATTTATTTAATTCATAATTCTAAGCCAATTTTTAAGGCAAAGAGTTTTTCTTATACTTTCTTCCTTGGTTGACATTCGATTTTTTGACAACAAATTAGTTCCAACTAAGAAAAATCTTTCACAAGCAGTTGATGTTCCTTGTATAGATAGGTAATCCCTAGGTGTGAATGAAATCTATCATAATGATTAATAAGAAGGAATGTTATTTTGCTTTAACATATAATAATCCTCTTGAAATGATTCCAAGCACCCTTTTCACCGTCTTAATTGATTTGATATTGATCCCTTATAATCGCTCTTTTTGTGAGGAAATTTTGTCAAATTCAACATTAAGCATAACTATTTCATCAGAAGCATTCTCCTCTAACATAATTAGGCTATTAACAATAATTTATTATAGAGATGATTATATTCTTGTATACCTTTGGTTCGTGTAATTTTTTAATATAATTTATTATGAGATTCAAAATATAAACTTCTCGTGAGATTCGAAAAATACGGCAAATAAAAATTGAAATATTGCTTTAATTTTCACTTCAGAGATTTTTTTAAATTTGTGGTAGTCTTTTTATAAACACATTTTCTGTCAGATTGGAAGGTCATCAAATAGAAATGACAAATGTTAGTTTTATTAAAAGCAATTTATTAAATATTCCAAATATTTCGTTTTATTCGAATAATTCGTTTTATTCTAACTGAATAAATAATTATTCGTACTCGGATAAAACAAATAATTTATTATTCGTATTCGTAATTTATTCAAATCGAATATTCGAATTTTTTTTGAATAGGCCTAGTGTGATGTATACATTTTTCAAATTCGTGAACCCGTTCGTTTTCATTCAAATTTAAAAATGTTTAAAAAATAGATTTTTTAATATAAATAAATGCATATAATTGAATTTAATCTCTTTTTTTTTTAATAGAATATAAAGTGTAAAGAATATAGAAATTTGTTGAAAATATTTGCAGTTTTATCATTTGTTTCTAAATATTTCGATAAACAATCATCGTCCGAACCACTAACCCTAAAAAAAAGTTCTAGAATTGACTGTCTATCCTGAAGCTTCTACTTATCTTGGTTTCTTTAAATGTTATTTTTTTGTTATAAGTATAGAATTGATAATTATAAATATAACTTTTATCAATCCCTTATATTAACGTATCTAATAGTGGTTTTCAATAAGTTAAGCATTTTTTTAATTTGAATAATAATATCGTTATTGTTGGCGTCAAATAACCCATCATGTTATCTTTACTTTTTATAATGGAAAACGCGGCATTATAATATTTTTTATATAATTCGTTTTTAGTTTTAAAATTGAAATACTTATTGTAATTAGCCATGGCAAAGATATGCAAAAAATTTAGAATATTTTAAATTCTAAAAAAATTTAGATTATTTTAATTGCATATTTTTAACAATTTAAACTTTTTTAATTGAACCAACGTAAAAAAAGAAAAAGAATACATTAACGTTTAAAATTTGCTTAAAATAAAAGGGATGCAGTTTATCGTGTTTTTTTCACAAAAGAACTAACTTTATTCATGAATTAAGTAAGGACATTCATTTTTGAAATTGATTTTATTACTGAATAAAAGCTGGCCGTTGTCATTTCGAAGATTTCCAATGCGTTCAACCCGAATTTATAAAAAAGGAAATTAGCTTTTGTGACCAGGAAGGAGTTAATAATCACTGTGATAACAATCTGATAAATTACCGTGAAAGCACTTATTTAGAAACACCATCAAGTTTATTTTAAAAATTATATTTTAATAAATTCATTATTATCTATAACTTATTAACCTGGAGGACGTATTAATGACTATAAAATTATTTATGAAACAAGTACTGAAAAAATGTCTTTCTTCTACTAATACTGCAAAAATGTTACAGTAGTGTTAAAAAGTTTAGTTTTTACGATTGTGAACTCTAGCTGGAGTCGTAAAATACTACTTTGAATTGAACGGCTCAATGAGCCCATGAGTTAGCTCTTGAAATGGTCTGTTATTACATGAGAAAAATATTAAACTGATTGTGAAAACGTCTCTAGAACTAATTCATACGGCTCATTGAGTCGCTCAATTTGAAGTGAGTTTTACAAAACTTGAATAGAATTTAGGCTAATTTGACACGGCTTAGCCGTTTAACAACACTACTTACAAATAAATATTTTTATAGCTTCTTAGTTTCTAATCATTATATATATAGATCATACCGAAAATATCTATGAAAATTTGGAGGATACATTAAACTCTTACGATATTATGAGAGGTAAAATAATTTTTAAAAATTCTTGATATAATTAGGTCGGGTTAGGTTAAATGTTGGGGGTTTTTTAAGGGCAGCCAAATTAATTTTTGCCCCAGGCCTGCAAAAGACTTTGTATCGCCATGGAAAGGGGGGTGCTAAGAACCCTTTTGCCTCTCCTCATTCTGTTGATAATGCAATTAAATGAATTAGACTGTGCGGATATCTACTATTTAAAAAAACCCGATCCGATATAAAATATTTAATGAGTCATATTCAATCATAAACATTGCCCCTTTGGGGGAAATAAAAAGAATACACTCACATTCGTGATAATGCACCAAATATACCCTTGGGCATGAGAAACATAATTTCAAAGGGTTTCTTGTTTAGCCCTTTACATTTTTTAAGCAAAAAATATTGATTTTTTATGACATTGGTTCAAGGATAGGTGGTATATAGAAATCCAATTCAAATATCAGACCAGTTTTGTATGAATATTGAAAAATATCGGATCAGTTAAAAATTTATTAATCAGCACAGCCCTCTAATAAATCCTATTATATAACAAATAAGTTACATATATATTTACAATTGATTATGCACCATAAATTCAAAACTATATATAATAGGCGAAGAAAATAGCTCAATAATGTTGGAGGGTAGCAACTTATATGCAAATAGCATGGATAATTCCAATTCTAGTCTAATAAATATGAATTCATTTGTATCTCAAGCTATATACTCGGAAATATGTAGAGTCAATAAATCCTCCAATAATCAATCTGATCATCAAGGTTGTAACCTTATTTTTATAAATATTTAATCTATTAAACTTTTATATTTATAAAAAAAAATTATAATAAAACTTATGCTTAATAAATCCCTGAATGTATTTGGTAGATTACGAAAATAACTATGAAGAATTTATAACGGCCCATGATGATGAAGTGTTTAGCGAGCGAGATATCGTTTTCAACAAATATGAAGATGGAGCAAATGAAATATTATCTCTAGGAATTAATCACCACGAAATTCCCATCAACAACTTAGAAAGCTCCAAGGGCAATACAAATAACATCTATCAAAAACAATACACTGGTAGTAACCAGACCTTCTTAATTAATTATATTGAGTTTAATTTAACATTTTTATTTTATTCCATGGCAAATTAAATTTGGTCGGTTAAATTTTGGAAATCTTTTGTAAAAAATATAATAAATTAAAAAATTGACATTTATAGATGATTCTCTAAAGCAAAAAGAAGTTAAAAAAAACATAAATGGCGTGGATACGGAGGTGCAAATGAGGCCAAAAAACTCGAAACCTTTAAATACAATACAGGACGATTCTCAAGCAAAATATAAAGAAACCGAACTTAAAAAAAGACATACCTTTTTTCGGTTTAGAACCTCGGATGCTAGCGAAGTAGTTCGGAAATCAAGGTATTTACTAGACCATTTTTGATATGTTAAAACAAGGCCATTCAATATTTAAAAATATATACGACATTTCTAAATATTTATCAAATCTAATAAGAGATGAACAACATGTTACATCGTTTCAAAACCCTTGTCCAAATGAAGCTTTTGCAAACAAAGGATTTAAAATTAATGGTGATAGCTCGCAAATGGCGTTAGATAGATCTATAAATGCTTCTATAATATTGAACAAGAAAAAGGAAAGACCGTGGACACTGACAACGCTTTTTAAATCATCCAATTCGACCAATAATAAATATGATATTAACTCAAGCTCCATTAACATAAATAAACCAAAATGTGTTTTGAACAGTGAGTCTTACAAGGTACATAGAGATAATTCAAGTTTTAACGATAATGTCACAAAATCTACTAATAAAATGGAAGATACTACAGCTGATTTAAAACAACGTGCCGAAGAGAAATGTATAGAAAATATTGTCGATTATAAGACAAATGGCCAGATTATATTTTCTACTTATGCTCAAAATAAGGAGGTAAATTTTTTAGGTGTCAATGAAAAATATAAAGAAACAAAAATCTTTTCACCCAGTAAGATTGATACATCTGAATCCCCCGACATGCGCGATACAAAACCGACCGAAAATAATCAATTGTATAAAGCGCAATCAATCACGATATTTGATAACAATGACCACCCCGTAAACTGCGAGACGATTAACAGATACACGTCGTTTTTCAAATCCCCTTCCTTCAAATCTTCCCTATATTCCAAATTCAATTCTATTCAATTATCCCTGACTGATTCGGGATCTTCGAGCACATCCTCCTCTTCTGATAACGCGGAACTTAATTCCAGCGAATATGATAATAACAAACAAAATTTTTTTAATGGGGTTAATAATGACTTTAAAAGTATTAAAGTATTAAAAGGATTCGGAAATTTACCCATAGTTGGAACTCATCAAAAAGGAATTCAAGATCTGGATTTAAATCCACAAGATAGGGATAAGCTTCTGATTCAAATTAGGACGTGTGGGGGAAAGGATATGCTAAAAGTATTTTATTACAAATTAAATATACTGTTCTTTAATATTAATTATTTTTTAAAATCAGCTGCCTGCAGAATTATCTTTTCCCCATTTTCAGTATGGAGAAGGGGGGGGGGGGTTGAATTTGGTTATCACATTAATTATTATGACCAAATATGAATATCAAAATTTTATCGATAAAGCTTTAAAAATTTATGCTAGATCAATATAAACTTGATAAAAATCAAAATAAATCTAGATAGAGGTGGAACAATAGAAAAAATTAGTTAAGGGAGACCGTTTTCTATAACAGCTTCTTAAATATTACTTCCTCGTTTATATGGATAAGTCGCTTTATGAACAAATATTTTTTATATATTAGGTATAGTTTAAATGATTAGAGTATTGCCAAAAGAATGAAGGTTTATAGAAATACCGATTAATATATATAATTTAAATATATTTTCTTGAACAAAATATATATAATCAGAGGACTTCAACACTTAAAAAAGACAAATTTACAATATATCAATCAACCGAAAAAAATATATGATCATAAGTGAAATCACATAGTACATATTCCTACAAAAAAATCTATATAGGTGCTTTCGATTTTTTTTTATAATCTCATTGTAAAACATTTTAGTTTATTAATTTATATTTTAAGAATTATAATGATAATATAAACTTTTCCCACTTATATATTACTACCAAAAATTCAAAAGTTGCGTTTATATAATTATGATGTATTAAATTCCAATTATTTATATTATAATTAAAAAAAAATTTTTATATTTACATGAGTTTACGGAATAAAGTTAAAATCCGATAAAACATAAATAATTTTTTTATTAGTATGAAAAGTAATAGATATATTATACATATTTATTTTTATTATAATTCTCTTGATCGAAAAATATTTAAAAAATTTTTACAATAAATAAGGGTTAATCATAGCCATAATAAATGAATAATAAATTGTCTAAGAATTAATATATAAATAGCTATTATATATTAAATCAATTATATATGTTAGCGGCAATGTGTTTTTCCCGGCATTGTGTTATTTTTTCAACTTACAATTATTTTTTGAGAGCGATTTTTTTATAAAATCTGATTTTACCGGAAATGTATCATATTATATTTGAAATACTTACCCTATGAATTTAGACAATTTTGCCATGAACTTTTGAACTCAATATAATTTATATTCGTTTTTCCATAGATTTTTTAAATGACTCAAAAGTTAAAGGTAAAATTATCTACAATTCCTAATATAGGTATTCAAACATGATGGAATACATTTTCGGTAAAATCATATATTTAAATTTTAAAAAACGTGGTAAAAAATGAAACATTGCCGTTAACATATATAATAACGGGAAAGGAAAAATAATTTCCCTTATTTAAAATTAAGTTAGACTTAAAAATCCAATGGTTATATTATATAAACTTAACTTTAATATAATAAAAAAATAATGTGAAACTATAAACCATTTTAAGCACTCTGAGTTTTGAGATTATTTATATTAAATATGAATAATCAAAAGATCATTTAAAGTTATGGGTTTTAAAGGAGCTTTCATTTAAAAGCCAAAGCTTCTAAGATTTTAATATCGAAAATGTCGGTACGAGCAAGTTGAGGACTCTCAAACGTTTGGCAAGCTTGAGTTGTACCCTTATCGAGGGAATTGTTGAACTGTAGAGCATGCCCTTTTCTATATGAAGAATTGTGTGTACAAACAAAAATAGTTTTAATAAAAGCATAAGCATGCCAATTGGTAATTATGTTTAACCATAGTTAGGGGCGAAATATATAATTTAGAGGTCATAGCTATTTCAAAATAATAAACAAATTTGAATGATATTCATCTATTTAAAAAAAATATGTGCTAGAATCTAATATTAGAAATTTAGAATATGAGAAGTTGATTAAGAAGAATAACATTACCCCCCTCCACCGATCATAATCCTATCGTGAGTAGCGCATTGAAACATGTACGTTCCAGCGGCGTCTTTATTAATGCTATTCTCGAAATTTTTAGCTAATCCTATCCAACCATATTTATAGATTTGAGGGCTAATCGTAAAAACGAAGGTTTCACCGGAACCGAAGAAATTTGTTTTGTTTCTACCTTTCCAATCGTAAGAACAGTAAGCACCGAATACCTTGTTTAATATATTCATCACATAAATTTGTACAATGATTTTATATAATGTTATAAATCTTATATAATTAAGACGACAGAATGGCTAAAATACCAAACTTCGTTATCAAATGTTTTGATCAATATGAGCGTAGGTTCTTCACCATCCACTTTATTGAAGAAAGTTTTGAGGCTGATTCCATCCTGTTTGGTAGAAAATAGTTTTTGAGGAACGTACATGGTATACCGAATAGGAATCCAATTCCATATGTATCTAAACTGGTCCCTGTCAAGTATTTCTGATCCACAATAAGGCTTTAGTTAAAAAAAATAAAAGGTACTAATTATTTTATTTATAAAAGATGATAGAAAACATTTTATATATTTTATAATTGTAAAACTTACCGGAGGAGGTAAATATGATATTGATCCTATCGATCGAGCAGAATCGTCATTTCGACTGTAGCCCTTTTCAGCGGCCGCTGCCGCTAAAAATAAATTGGAAACCCTATCTTTGGCAAATGATTCGTATTTCATCGTAAGTTCGTCTATTGTGTGAGACCGTAGGCCTCTTATACCGAACGCTATCTGGCGAAATATAAATTAAACGATTTAAAGAAAATGTTAGAAATTAGAATAATTTAAAAAATTATTTTGTTTTTGCAGTTCGTTTGCTATGAATAGAGAAGGGGAAAGAGATGTTTAGTAAGAATAGAGGGCTCATTATACTGTCATCGATATGTAATATGAAAAAAAAATTAAAAATCGAGTTTAATAATTGATAATTTAATAATGTGAGTCTTGCCAAATAGCTAAGCCAAAGATAGCGGAAAATGGAGAAAAGAAATTAGATGGACAACTGGCATACTTGGAAGGAAAGGGGCCACAAACGAAGAAGATTAATTTTACATATTTGTAAGTCGTTCAATCTGGATTAATGATAGGAGATAATATTCAGATCAAGTATCTTTTACTATTGTTTATTAAGCAATTTACAAAAGCGAGACTTTAAACCAATAATAAATCCCCATTCCATATTATGATTTTTGGATATTATAGTTTGTTTTAAACAACATAGATTAATTTTTGATTCTGATTACACAATACTACTCTATTTAATAACTGAGTTAATCAGAAAAGATAACTCCATTCCATTGTTTTGGGTAGTGTTGTTAAACGGCTCGTTTTGAGCCGATTTTTAAAACGGCTAACTCAATATTTCTTCCAGAAAAATATTACGCAAGCCTGAAGATTTTACTCATAGAAGGAAGAAAGGTCTAGACATATATTATCGAAATCTCGAGGCTTATGCAATATTTTTTTGGATTAAATATTGAGTTAGCCGTTTTAAAAAATCGGCTCAAAACGAGCCGTTTAACAACACTAGTTTTGGGGTTGATTTTATTTCCTGGATGATATTTAATAGCGTTTTTTTAGCCTTAGTTAAAAAGGATAGGGGGAGAGACCAATAATAAAACGAATATTCCGTTTTATGAATATCCTACAGAAATGTTGTAGGAAACTTTTTTATACTCGACTTCCACTCAAAATCAGATCCTGACAGCCGGAACGCCATTCTTTGAAGTACCTTTTTAATATGCACGAGCTTCCCTAGAATCTATCTTACAAGGCTTCCTCTATATTTGTTAATTGACAAAGATTGATTTCTATAATCTATTAATTTTACCCTGAAATGAATAACGTTAATCTCAAGAAAAAAATGCAGATTTTCATTTAGATAAAATTAATAAAGTGCACATGTTTCTAAGGTTTTACCAAGAGCCATTCTCATTTAATAAAATAAATAAATAATTGACATAATATTTTTTTTGAAATTTTAAAATGTATAAAAATAAAAAATTATCAATGGCCGTATTATGGAAGTATTTATAATGAATATAGATTATTTATAAAAAAATCATAGAAAATTTTTATTCTTTTCACCATCTAATTATTAAGTCGGGTCAGACATGTGGACGCATTTCTGTCTTAAAAATATAAGATTGATTCCTTCTCCAAATATTTAGCTATTCCCAACTAGGAAGGATTTAAATACTAGACCGTGTCCCAGTTCGACTTATTACAATACTCTGCCTTTTCCTCTAAACAGGCTAAGGAAAGAGGCTATTTAGATTTACGTAGGTAAAGTGTGTAACTTTTTCTAAACTAAAATATTTATTTAATGAAAATAGGTGTTTAGCCCAATAAGTTTTAAAAATAAGACGAATCAGGACACAGCCTTAGTCTTTTATACTATCCTAATAAAAATGTTTAGCTAAAAAACAAATACTTTAAAAAAAATGTAAGGAAAAAAGTTAGAAATGTTTTTTATTTATTTTACTCTCAAAAGTTTGTTAGGCGAGAAATCGGGGTCTTGACAAAATCGGCTTATAAAAGCTCCTATATTAGGATATTCGTAATACCCGTCTAAGGGTGAAATAGTAGACCGCCTATGCAAATCGGTGCGAAGAGATTGAGAAGTAAAATCAGTGGCGTCAGCTTGACTTTTATCTATTTTAATCATTAGATTATTATTATATGTGTTAGCGGCAATGTGTTATTTTATCAATTTTAAATCATTTTTTGAGCGCGTTTTTTTAAATTTAAAAATCGGATTTTACCGGATGTATTCCAGCATGTTTAGAATATCTATCTTATGAGTTGTATACAATTTTACCATTAATCTTTGAGTCATTTTAATGTAGTGTATAAAAAATCTATGGAAAAAACTAATATAAATTATATTGAATTCAAAAAATCATAGGGTAGGCATTCCAAAAATTATGAAATACATTTCCGGTAAAATCAGATTTTTAAATTAAAAAAAAACGCGCTCAAAAAATGATTCAAAGTTGTAAAAATAACATATTGTCGAAAAAACACATTGCCACTAATATATATAATATTCATTTAAAGAAAAATAAATAATAGCTAATATTCTGTTAATATTTATATATAAGATATATATTATGAATTCGATATATATTTTTTCAGGAAATATTTGTAACAAGGAATTTAAACCATTTAAAATTTTATAATAGTATGTGGCTAAAAAAAATCGAGATCATTTTTGTGGGTTAATAAATTGCAGGGATACACCGAATCTCGTAATATCACGGGATACTTTCAATTTTATTCGATACCAGTGGTCGATATCCAATAATTAAACTTCATAAAAAATAATTACCTATTAGACCAGGGGTTCGAACCGAACCTGGAGAAGAAAACCCGGGTTTTTGGGAAAAAATTTGAACTCGAACCGAACCTGAACCCCGTTTATAAAATTTTCAAAACCCCGAACACAATCCGGGAATTTTATTTGAACCCGGGTTAAGTGTATTGTTTAAATTAATATAAGAATAATTGTAAATACAAATATTAATATTTTATGACATTTTATAATATTTTCAAATTTATAATTAAGTGAAGTGTTAATGAATTTTAAACAACTTAATTCATTTATTCCATTTTTAAATTTAAATTCATTCTCAAAGATTCCTATTGGATTGTTAATAAATTTTAAACAATTAAATTCATTTACGCTATTTATTTTTAATTTTTAACTTATTCTCAAAGATTATTAATTAGAGGAAAATGAAAGTGAACAAGTCAAAGTAAAAATTATTATATTGGATATTGTTAATATAAAGAAATACGTCTAAATAAAATTTTTTAAATCTATACATGACTATGCTTTATATTTTTAACTATATATTGCCTATAAATTAAATAAAAAATTAATTTTTTATACCAAATGTATGTCTAGTTTTTTAAATTATGATTTAAATATAGAATATCAATTCAAAAATTCTTAAACCCGAGCTGAACGGAACTAAACCTGGGTTCAAAAATATTTCCCTGAACCGAACCTAAACCGAACCCACCCATTTTTTTAAGCCTTAAGCAGAACCCGGGCAAAAATTTTGCCGGCGGGTTCGCATCCCTGTATTAGACTATGAATTTATAATAAAAAAATTATATGCAAATTTCGAAATCGATAAAAAAAAAGTATAGAAGTAAGAAAGAAAAAGAAAGAGCTGTTAACTTCCTACCAATTTAATTATATTCTTTTTATAAATAAAAAATGTAATGAATTGTATTTTTGCTTTTTACAATAAATAAATATACTACATTTTGTTGTATCGGCTATTGTCGACATAAAAAAATGGTATTGTTGATTTCTAATATTGGATCTGGATGAATCCATAAGTTAATGATAAATTTATTTAAAATCAATACTAAGAAATAGTTCCCAATGTTTTTAGTATAATTATCTTTATCTCGAGTCATTAAAAATTAGAATTTATTCCTTATTCGATTAAAAATCGAATATGAATAATGTAAAAAAATTTTCGTAGTAGAGACTTCATTATGCCTAAGTATTCAATATATTCCTTGTGGAACTTTTTACTTTTTAACCTGAAAAAATTTTCCTTAACCAACCCAACAACATAGCCCGTATAAAAATTAACTACCCATGGGTGGGTTTTGTAGACGAAATGTGTCAATACCGCCGCGATACCAATTTTTTATAATATAATCCATAATTTATTTGTATATAAGATTTTTTTCCTAGTCTCCATTTCCATAAAAAATATTTTTTGATTATCAATTAAATTAAACCATATAAATATGTTATTTAATATTAATTACTTTACTGGTTAAAGACTAAAATTGAAAATATCGGCCTCTCCTCTCTCTGATTATATATATTGAAAATATGATTTTTAGTCGATTTAATATTTCTATTTTAACAAAAGTTCATTGCAAAAGAAAACGGACGTTTAATAATAAAACGAATGCATGTGCGATTATAAATAAACACCCCCTCTTTCGAAGTATTTCCCTCCTGGTTGCAAGAATATTTTTATTTTATTATAAGATTTGAAAATCATGTTTTCCTATTAGGGTTGGAAAGTAAAAATCAATTAGATTTAAACCACGATTTAAATCACCCCGATATTTTTTTAAAAAATCAGTGATTTAATCAATATTTTTAATAAAATTTTATTTAGCAAATTTGATCTTAATACTTAATATAAGGAAAGACTTAGATTATTTTAGAATTAAATAATTTTTATATGAATTTTTAAAAAAGGGTTCTGGTTCAGTGTATAATCTCTGAAATCGGTTTGGGTTCAGGTTGTAGTCCTGAAAAAAAGGCTAAAATTAAAAATAACAGAAACATCATTTTTTTTATAGCATTTATCATTAAAATTAAAAGATCGATATTTTATGCTTAACTTTGAGGTACATTACAATTCATGTACTCGACATTGCTATAATTGTTTAAATGAAAACTAGTTTTCCTAAACGATTCCTAAGTTTGGAATACACTCCATATGATGAAAATACTCCACTGAAGCTGTTGATTGTTTTATTATGAATTAATTGGTCCTGCTAACCATCATTCATTTTTTTTTTATTTCATTGGAAAACATAATTTTATTAAAAGAGTTAAATGTAGTTTGGAATTTTACCATAATTGATAGATAAGAGATTGGCTGAAGATATAAAATTAGCCACTTCCATTGCCATTTCGGTTTTATTGTTTGTAAAATTTGAAACATATTTGGGATTTAGAAGATAAGATAAGAAATGTGTCGGTGAAGGTATTATAATGTTGATTTTCAGGATAGTGAGTTTTATAAAAACAACCATATAATAATTAAATAATAAGCTAATCTAATTTAGACATGATTAACTTTTTTTAATTTTATCAAATAACCAAACATTTATAAATGATTAGATTGCTTAATTGATTTGTGTAATATTTATTAATAAACAATTAATTTATCCTCAGAAAATTAATTAAACCATATTTATTATAATATAATTGAAGAACTAGTCAGTTAGAAAAAAACAGGAGGGAGAGTTTTAAATTTTTGGGACATACTAAACAATTACTATAAAATTAATAATCAAGATTATTTTAAATGAAGGGTAAACGAATATCTTAAATTTTACTAATGCCTCAGGACACCTAATTGGGAAATAACAGTAGCTAAAATTAAAAATAATAAAACCACCATTATTTTATCAGTCGAAAAATGAAATTTTAATTTGATCTTAACAGTTTTATTTGAGGATATTCATAGTATTCGTATTAGAAAATGAATGATGTTTTTTCCGACTCACTGATATCGACTAGTTAAAATTTTTTAAAACAGTTTTCACATATTATTAAATTTTCGATTGTAAGTCATTTTCATTTGACAAAATATATTAGCTCATGACTTATCAATATATATTTTTTCAATAATTTCCTATCCGGATATCCGGAAGCATTAACTTATTACTTTACAAAGAAATATTATACTAAGGTTAAAAAAAATTATGACGTATGATATTTTTCAATCTAAATCTGTAACTTCTCTAATTTAAATAGTATTTGGTTCAAATTGCGATTTATCAAAAAAGATTTTTTCAAAAAAATCAGATATTTTGTCAACCCTATTTCCTATCTTAATTATGTTATTAGATCTTTTCTACCTAACCTTTTTTAGTCCTTTATATATATAAATTAATTAGACCTCTTCCCCTTCCATTCTTTTTTTATATTAAAATCATTTAGCATTCTCCTTACCTCTTTTCCCGGACCTGAGGTGAGATATGGATGTCGCGCTCATTATATCGCAAATATTGTTGGAATTATCGTTTAAATTTGCCGTCCAATTATCCGTATTATTGGTCACGTGGCTTATAACCGAACCGCTTCCCTTAGAAGGAAAAATATTAAAAAAAATTTTTAAAGGAAAAGGATTTTCGTCATTTTCTTTCCAAAGTTCCGTTTCTTTATTGCCCTTATCTTCCCTAGGATTCTCAAGCGATTCTTCTTCGTTTTCTTCGCTCTTGGAGGAATGTTGTTTTTTGAGGTTGGAATACTTGTGATGCCTCGCATGTCGATGGGAATGTATCCTAAGATATTTGAGGTAAAAAATGTTGTAATGATTAAGTTAAGTAAGAATTTAAAAAGAATAGAGGGGGGATTCTCTACCAGGATTAACAAATATTCGGATCCAAGAATAATATAACTTTTTTTATTTTCCTCAGCACTTATAATTTTCCCGGTTTCCTCAAAATATTGTACCTTTAAGTCCAAAATAAAAAAAATAGGATAGAACGGATTTTTTTTGCCTCGGATAGGCATGGGCCCTAAACCGATACAGTGCTCTAGTTAAAATTAAGAAAATTATATATGATAAAAATTCATTAAGTAAATAATTCTATATCAAACGATCACGATTCAGCCGACCCGATTTTCGATCTTTAAGAAATTTATATATAAATTAAGGTTCGTGTATCCTTATACTTGGGCAAAATTTTAATCCCTTAGAATTTACACTTTGGAATCAAAGGTAAAAAGCATAAAAAATCGGTCGCATTTAAATTAAAGAATGATTAAAAACTACGCGAATAGATATAAATCTGTTTAATTTTAGAAAATAAATATAAAAAAAAATTTTTAAATTATTTTTGGCATCTTTTGTCCATAAGAAAATTTATAATCCTTTCCTCATAAAAAAAATCAGTTATTTTTATTTTTAAAAAATATTAAATAAATTACATTACTATTAGAGATCTGCAAAGTTAGGCCCGGCCCGGGCCGAACCCAATTATTTTAAATATATCTAAATTTATCAATTTTATAGAATTTCTTATGTAAAATAAAAATATTTGATTTTATTTATTGAAACTAAACGACATATAACATATGTCTTTTATTTTAAGTAATTATAAAAATTAATTTCTATATTTAAATAAATTCGGGCCGGGCCAGGTCGGTAAATTTTTTTAAAAAATATTTCAGGTTCGGGCCGGGCCGGCAAATCTTTTTTAAAAAAAATTCGGGTTCGGGCCTGGCCGGCAAAATTTTTTAAAAAAATTTCGGGCCGGGCCGGGCTTGAAAAATTAGGCCCGATGCAGATCACTAATTAATATTATAATATAGATATAAAAAAAATTATAAGAGGGCCTTTACGACTTTATAGGCAAAGTTGATAAAAATAAAAATTCACAATATTTTTAAAGCCTAAAATAGCGGATTTTATTTAATTCGTTTTTATATGTAATAATATTTCTATAAGAAATTTTTTTTTTCCCAATAATAAATAATGACCTACATGTTCTTATCAATATTTTAAACGCTTAGGCCATGAGTTAGACTTAGTTCAGGTTGTGCGATTTTATAAGGTAATTAAAATAAGATATTTGAATAATTAGAGATGTATACAAAGATCCCGCGAGCAGATAACTCCTGAAAAGTATTTTGCAGAATTTCGTAAATATGGGTTTCAAACTTAAAGATATTTGAATTAATATTTTTTTTTCCTTTACAAAATATTTTTAAGTGTCGGACTGGAAAAACATTATAAAAAATTTAAGGGGCCAAGTAGGAGGAAACATAAATACAATGAAAAATCAAATTTGGTTTCTTTAAATAACAAAACATATGCCAGATTAAATTCTGATAAAGATTTAAAAAAAACTTTGATGAGAATCTGAATGAAATTTTTCGTGAAGATGATCTTTTAAAAAATAAGACCATTTTAAAATATTTTTAATAATTCCCCGAATTAAAATTTTTATTTATTAATATAATAAAACACTTCCAACTCGAGTTGAATGTGTGTTTAGCATAACGGAAACTGTGTGAGCATTAAGTGCTCTTGTTTATCCGATCTTATTTTGAAAAAAAAAATTATTATAAAAATAACTTTATTTTATAATGGTATAAAACAAGGTAGGGTCCACCGCTATTTTGCCTAGATGTCCAAGTTTCAACCTTTATTAAACACCTAGTATTTAGATGATAATTCTATAGACAGTGGCACATTTTAATAAACACCATTCCTGACATTATTAATCCTATGCCCATTTACAAGTTTATCTCTTAACATGTCAAAGTTAGTAACGACGTTACTTTACATCATTATTTAATAGCTATATATAATATATATAAAATATGTATGCAAACTTTTTGGACACTTTATTGTACCCCATATCTGCTGATTCTCTATTTCTAGGATCTACCATCACGGTTGTGTCATTCGCTTCATCCGTTCCTTGGATTTCTTTGTCAATCATATCATCATCTTCCACTTCTGAAGCATTATATAGGTGCATATAAATTTATTATGAATACTGAATAATTACACGCAAATCAGCAAAAAAATTGTCTTTCAATCGAAACCTTCAGATTTTGACTAATTTTTCCCATTAATTCAATCAATAACAAGAAGTAAAAAACTTAAAAATTATCTCGACAGTCAAGCTTAAGGCTTGAGAGAAACTTTAAGATTAAAATATTTTAAAAAAAGATTTTGTATTTTTTTTTGATCCTTAGGTCATTTCCAGACACAACGTTTTTTTCAAAGCGAGAAAGAAAACTTATTTTTATGGCATGCGATTTTGCGTTCTTTTAATATCAAACTAGTTTGATATTTTTTTAACGATTAAATGGCGTCGGATATGATTGAAGTTAATAAGTTATTGTTTTTTCAAAAGGGCCTGAAAATGACTGCAACAAAGACAAAGGTGATGATTGTTGGAGAAAATCTAAAGATGAAGGAATCTGGTAAGTGGCCTTATGGTGTATGTGGGAAAGGAGTTAGAAATTCAATCCAGTGCACCAGATGCCATAAATGGGTACATAATAGATGTAGCGGGAAAAAAAGAAAATTTGATGTTAGCAAGAATTATCTTTATTTGTAGAACGCGCATAAAAGGGGTACATAATAATGATAACGTAGAAAGGGTTAACCCTAGGGTAAGTGGATAAGTTTTGTTATTTGGGTGATATGCTAAACGCAGATGGTGGTGTAGATTCTGCCGTTGTAGAAGTTCAGAGAGATGCCGTCTTTTCTAACAAATAAAAAAGTTTCTCTGAAATTAGAGGTGAAAGTTTACGTAAGCTGTGTGAGGAATTGTTTTGTTTATGATGGCGAAACATGTGAATGCGACTCACGAAGCCAAATTAGAAAGAAGAGAGATGAGGATGATTAGATGGATGTGTGGGATATCTCTGAGAGAGATAAAAAATTAGCAAGTAATTGCGAGCAAGATTGGTATGGAAATGATTGGAGTGGTAATGCGACGAAATAGACTAAGATAGTTTGGGCATTTGGAACGTATGACAAATGATGACTGGGTAAAGAGATGCAGATGGAAGTAGGAGGATCAAGACCTAGACAAGATGACGTGGACAAATGTGATAGCGGCGGATATGAGAAGCATGAATCTTACAAATATTGGCAGGACCGTCAAAAATGGAAAGAAAAATCAGAGGGAAAACTGGCCTACCTGGGTAAACCTGGAAATCGCCATAAAACGGAGAAGAAAAAGAAGATCTTGTACAATAGTTTTAAACCAGATGAAACATAATTACTTAAATAAAATATTAGATGAATTGTGAATTTTATATGCTAAAAGGTAAAATAGTTTGATTTGCAAAATATCTTGTTTAGTTTACTAAACACCTTTTTATCTATAATTTTTAATCAAATGATTTTTTAATTAAATAAGCATAATTATTTAATTTTGGTGGTAAGCGTGGCCGAGAGATTATTAGTATATTATTTATAAGTATATTTTTTACACTGAATCTATTTTTAAATACCTTATTTCTATATATCAATTTACAATTAAATAATTACATACTGATTAATTATATATAAAATATAATTTTTTTAAAAATATATATTATTAAGTTAAACTTTATAATTTAAAATATTTTTTAAAAAGCTCTTTTGTTGGTATCGTGAATTCGTTTTCCTCTTCTTATTCAATCATCGATCCTTTATTTTTGCATTTTATTCTGCTTTATTTATCGCGCTATTTTTTATTCTTAATCCATTCGCGATGAACTTTGAATTTTTCAACGGCATTTTAAAATTATTTTTAAAAACCTCTTATACCGAGCACATCAATTCACTGGATCTTTATTTGTGATATTATGCATACGTTGTCCCCTCAGTTTCAATAATCGATTTTTCGTGATTGAAATTCGGTTTTATTTATCGCGCTATTTTATTTTTCCTAATCCATTAACGATGAACTCCGAACTTATTCAAAAAAACTATTATTTAATTAAAACCTCATATTCCGAGCATATCATTTATTTTTTGCATTAGTTATTCAGTTTTATTTATCGCGTTTCAATATCATACATAATCCATAAGCGACTTATTGTATACATTATAATATACCAATGATATTTTTCTTTATGGTTAAATTTGGAGTTATTCATTTGTATGCAGGTTTTTTTTGCTGACTTGTGCCCTTTATTGTGGTAGTCACCACCGTTCAGGTTATTACACGCGCTTATCCATAACCTGAAGTTATATCTCTCTACTATTCTGCTTCATTGTTCAAAAAAAATTTCTTACCCATTTTTCCCCCCCTTTATGTTTTCTTCACAAATCTGTCCATTATGTCTGAAAACAGTACACATTAGAAAAGATGTATACTTACAATTCATGCACCACCTTCAGTCAGAAGTCCACATTCTGGCTTTGCTCCACTGTCTCTTATCAGTCAATCGATTATTCCTCTAGAAAATGTTGTTCCACCTCTTCGCAATTCAAATTCTTGCATCTCAGATTTCTTTTCTAGACCATTCTAAACCAAATCATTTCAAAAATCCCCAAATGTGCAAGGTTGCTGAATCTTTCGCTGATTGTCTATCCTCCATATTGCTAAACTTCCTTTTCTATGTATATAATATCTTCAGGGTGCTTGACATATAAATCCCTTACCCAGCAAATTAAGGAGGCGCATCCATTGTTGCCCCTCATCTCCATGAATATAGGATGTCATTGCTTGTCAAAAACGAAAGAAAACCCTCACTGATTGAGAAGAAGACCAGTTTGATCTGCAAGATAATTGACAATCTCAACATAAAAGGTGCACTTAAATTGATTTACATACATGACTCTCTTGCCGCAACATGTGCTTCTCTATTTACTTCTGAAGAAGTGAGGAAAGCTATCCTCTCCTTTCATTGAGATTCTGCCCACAATCATCTGCCCTATATTTCTCCAGGACATCACTTCCCCCTCTATGCTCACAAACTCCTTACTAAAATAATAAACCTTTGCAATAAAATTTTAAAAGGTGAAACCTAGATTTGTTTCTCCAGTCCTCTTCAGTGCTAGGCTAATTACACTTCAAACGCCCAATGATGATATTCGATTAATTTCAATAGGTTCTACTATTAGCCGCTTAGTTGCCAAGATGATATCTTCTCGAATAAAGCATGAAGTTTCATGTCTCCTAAACCCTTTCCAACTTGGTGTTGGAATCCCTGGTGGCTGTGAAGCTGTTGTACATTTAACATAAATACATATAGAAAATCAGCCTACCAATGAGTCTTTAATCAAAATTGACTTCTCCAATGCCTATAATACACTTTCTCAGAATTCTTTCCTGAGTTCCTCTTGTACTCTTTTCCCCGGTTACACAAAAATTTTTTATTCTTGTTATCATCTGCCTTCCACCCTGCAATTTGATATTTATAAAATTCCCTCAATTGAGGGCATTCAACAGGGAGATCCTCTTGGTTCTTTATTCTTCTGTTTAAGTATCAACGACATCGTTAAATCCATTAACTCGACGTGTTCATTATCCTTGCATGCCTGGTATATTGATGATAATTGAATTTAATCAAGGAGACTGAGATGGTTATGGACTTTCTATCAATCCAGAGAAATCCGAATTCATTTCTATCAAATCAATTAAACTCAATTCACACAACTTCAAACTCACTACCCTTGAGGAACTAAATCATTTAGGCGCTTCTGTTGAAGAATGCACAGCAATATATTCCTTTCTACATTCCACACTTGAAACGTTTTTGAGTTGGCTTATTTATCTTCCCTTCTCCCCTCCCACAAAGCCTTTTTCTTGAACAATTTTTCCAATATTCCTCGTATCCTATTTGCGCTTCGATCAACTCCCATTTTTAAATATCCCATACCTCTCGGTGTTTATGAAAATCGGATTAAAGTCCTAATCGAAAATATCTTAAACCTTAAATTCAATGAAATCGCGTGAACTCAAGCTACCAAGATGGGTGGACTTGGTATCAGATCTCCTTCCGACCTTGCCATAACTACTTTCATATCCAGTTGTCTTTTAACAAAAAATATTTTAAATTCCCATTTGATAAAACCTAACCCTTCCTATAATGGTGCTATTATCGAGTGGATATCACGAATTATCGCTACCCACTTCCAGATACGAATAATTATTAGGATGGGATAGGCCTACTGATCGTCCTTTATTCTCCTCGCTGCTTAATGGATCTGACCATAAGTTCCTTGAAGCCATTCCCTCAGTTAATTTGCAATTACAACTTAACCAAAATGAGTTCACTCACGACATTGGTATTTGTTTAAACTGCCTAAAAACCCAACCCCAAACTTGTTCAGGTTGCAGTTCTGCCGTTGTTGGTAATGGAAGATATAGCCTCCATTGTCGCTCTTGTGAAGGTCGAATCGTTATAATTTATGAAATTCAATTATCCTTAGGGCTTTGAGACCTCAAATTCCCTCTATTCTTGAACCTTCTGGTATTTTCAGATCCGATGTTAAACGTCCTGATGGGATCTCTCAAATTCTGGTCTGGGACTCGTGTATTGATCCTTTGGCTCCATCCAATCAAATTCTTAACCTTCTGGAGAAAAAGGAGTTACTTAAAATAGCAAAATATTCTGAAATATCATAATACATATATATTCATTCTCATTATTTCCACAACCTTAAAAACGTTTGGGAATCATGCATTATCCCTTTTCAAAAAACTTGGCTCGCACATTCATAAACTTACGTATGAACCTCGCAAAGGCTTTTTCTTAAGACAAAGACTCGCCATAGCGATTCACAGGGCTAATTACATTAGCTTCATTGGCCTCATCCCACAAAATGATTAGTTTTAACATTAATATTTTTTGTGCGCGTTGTTTTCCTTTTTTTTCTTACATAAAATATATATATATATATTTGAAATTAGCATTTACCATTATAAACAAATTGATCAAATAAATAAAATCAATTAAAATTTGTTCTTATATATATACAAAATTTTTAAGTATTAAATTTGAATA